TAACTGTAGCCTCATAAGAAGAGTTTAGGAATGTTCCTTCTGTTTCTACTATGTAGAACAATTTGAGAAGTATTGGTATTAGTTCTTCTTTGAAAATCTTGTAGAATTTTGCACCATGTGGTCCTGGAATTTTTTTGGGGGGGTGGGGTGGGAGAATTTGGTGGTTGTTTCTATTTCCTTAGCAGTTATAGTTATATTTAATTTGTTTTTCTGGTCTAGATTAATTTTGGTAAGTGATATTCATCTGGAAAATTGTCCATTTCCTTTAAGTTTTCCAATTTTGTGGAGTACAGGTATATGAAGTATGACCTGATGATTCTCTGTTGATATGATCCCTCCTTTTCATTTCTGATTTTGTTAATTTGGATATTCTCTCTCTGCCTTTCAGTTAGTTTGGATAAAGGTTTGTCTATTTTGTTGTTTTTCTAGAAGAACCAACTCTTTGTCTCATTAATTCTATGTATTATTTTTCTTGTTGTTTCTCTTTGGATAATTTCAGCGCTCATTTTGAATGTTTCTTGTCATCTAGTCCTCCCAAGTGAGTTCACTTCTTTTTGTTCTAGAGCTCTCAGGTGTTCTGTTAACTCACTAGATTGGGATTTTTCCAGCTTCTTTATGTAGGCATTTAGTGCTATGAACTTTCCTCTTAACACTGCTTACACTGAGTCCCATAAGTTTGGGTATGTTATGCGATCATTTTTGTTGAATTTTAAGGAAGTCTTTAATTTCTTCCTTGACCCAGTGATGATTCAGGTGAGCATTGTTCAATTTCCATTTGTTTGTGGGCTTTCTGAAATTAGTGTTGCTGCTGATTTCTAACTTTAAGCCATGGTGATCTGATAAAATACATAGAGTTTTTACAATTGTTTTGTATCTGTTGAGGTTTTCTTTGTTACTGAGTATGTGGTCAATTTTTGAGACCATTCCATGAGGTGTTGAGAAGAAGGTATATTCTTTTATGTTTGGATAAAATGTTCTATAGATATCTGTTAAATCCATTTGAGCCATAACATCTATTCCCTTGTTTATCTGTTGAGTTTCTGTCTGGCAGACAGGTTCAGTGGAGAGTAGGGTGTTGATGCCTCCCACTATTAGTGTGTGTGGTTTAATGCACATTCATTTCTTATTAAATTCTTTTAAAAATGAGCTATTTCCACATGTTGCATTGCAGTCCTCTGATAAAGGGCTTCTAACCCTGAGCTTAAATTGTTCAGATTTGGGACAGATACAATGTAGGAGTGAGTCACTGAAGGCAAGTCCAGCCATGCGGGGGGGTTTTCAAATCTTCAACTCTAGAAACTGGACGGGGAAGCTAGTTCTTTTCCATTACTTTCTCTCTTAAAAGGTGGCTGATTCTTTAACGAGTAGGCATGACTTTAACTTTTTTTGCTTGTTTGTTTCCACTTTTCTTCTGGTCATAAATGTGGGTGTTTTGAAGGAAAGCAAAGCCATGGCCTTTTGAGTACCTCACTGAATTAGTCAGCTTCTAGACAGGAAACATGTTCCAAGCAACATGATTTAACTGAAAAGAATGCAACTAAAAGACTATTCACCAGGGGGTGTTGGCAGGCCTGAAGCAGCTAGCAAGAGTGGGAAGGCATTCAACCCAAACACTGTAGGATTGGGAGGAAATGTGACCATCAGAGACCAGAGAGCCAGCCTGAAGCTATAAAAAAAAGAAGCTCTCAGACTCTGAGAAAATCTGTCATTCTCATCCTCAGGCTCAATCTACTGGCCATCCCTTAAATCTTTTAATGAATCTCAGACAACAGAGGACTGTCCTATCCTTCATCACCGCCTATCTTACCAGGCAACTGGTTCACACCAGGCGACTGGTTCACAGTATTTGGATAAATCCAAATCTGTCTCCTATCTTGAGTCTCTCCTGTTCAGTGGGGGCTTCCAAAGACAAACCAAATCAACACAAAATGAAACAAAAACCAAAAACCAAAGAAACAATCCCCCTTTCTATTTCCCCATTGCACAACGGGCTCTCTTGTGCCTCTCTGCCCTTTTCCCTAGTTGGTAAAACCTTTTCTCCATGCCAAGCCTGCTGATTTGTCTTCATTTTTGCTGCTAGCTTTTTTCTAATCATTATTTAGAAGGACATACCCATGGTGCACCCTCTTTTACCAACCCAATGGGATTCCTTATTTTGTTCTCTATTTTTGGTGTCTGTATCTTTCAATGACTAATTGATCTTACTTCTTCTGAAACTCCATATATATGTGTGTGTGTGTG